CTCTCTGCCCCTCCCCTGCTCATATTCTGTCTCTCTCTCTCTCTTTCTCTCTCAAAAACAAATAAAACATTAAAAAATTTCTTTAAAAAAAAAAGGCTTACCTAATTAGGTATGTCATAGTAATAGTCTCACTTTTGATTAATTCATAGTCACTTTGTACTAATTATGGAAGCATCACCCATTGAGTTCTGGCCTATGAAGGGGAAGGGATTATTACAAGATGTATATTTCAAGTGGTGGGATCCTGGGAGCCATGACAGAATTCTACCTACTGTATTTACCATGAATTATTTGCTTAGAATGTGTTCTCAGAAATAGGATGAGGTCTGAGTATTTTATGATGCTTGACATACATTACCAAATTTTGGTACCGATTTACCAGCAACAGATGTGAGTGAAAGCTTATCAATATACTTGATTAATTTCTTGGTACTTATTACCTGTTCTTAGAGGTGGGCACTTCCATCAACCTGGCAAGGGTATTGAAGTTAAGAATTATCGGGGCGCCTGGGTGGCTTAGTCGGTTAAGCGTCCGACTTTCGCTTAGGTCATGATCTCGCGGTTCGTGGGTTCGAGCCCCGCGTCCGGCTCTGTGCTGACTGCCAGCTCAGAGCCTGGAGCCTGTTTCAGTCTGTGACTCCCTCTCTCTCTGACCCTCCCCTGCTCACGCTCTCTCTCTCTCTCTCTCTCTCCTAGAAATAAATAAAACATTTAAAAAAAAAAAAAAAAAAAAAAAGAAGTTAAGAATTATCTTGTGGATTTGCCAGTTGTTCCATCTGGACAACTTGGTGGGTGGTATTAGTAACCCACTCAGGCCTGCTTGGTGAGGCAGTTCTCGAATTTGTGTTAACCAGATAATCTAACGGTTTGCTGATAGTTCTCATTGATGACTTTGCTTATAGTTTAGTTTGAAGAGTAGTATTGAAAGGTGGAAAATTCTATCTGGCTGCCTCTGTTTTTATCCTAATGGATGCATAGTTTAGGCTTAGCAAGCATAGCCATGCTAAAGATTGTGCTTGTTCTTTTTTTTAATGTTTATTTATTTATTTTTGAGACAGCGTGAGAGGGGGAGCAGCAGAGAGAGGGAGACAGAATCCCAAGCAGGCTCCATGCTGTCAGTGCAGAGCCCATTGCGGGGTTCTACATGGGTCATGAGACGATGACCTGAGCCAAAACTGAGTCGGACACTTAATCGACTGAGCCCCCAAGTGCCCCAAGATTGCTCTTGCGCTTTAACTCCTTATTTTGCTGTTTTTTATTTCAGGAATATTTCATAACTCCATCAATAGATATACAAGAACAGGTGTATCGTGTTCAAAAACTCCACCATATTCTAGAAATATTAGTCAGTTGCATGCTTTTCATTAAACCCCAACACGAGCTCCTCTTTGCTTTAACACAGTAAGTACTGCTCTCTTTTTCCATTCCCATAAAAATGTATTCTCTTGTGAAGCAGCTGGGGCCAAAATATGTGCAGTTTTTATTACCAATTAAGGTAGAATCTGTGCACTGTGTCTTCACAGTAGTAGAATGGTTCTGAGCCCCTGTCAGAGGAAGGAAAGGCTTTGGGTTCAGAAGGACTCAGGTTTGAAACTTGGTTCTAGCACTTTCAGACTTTCTGAGGAAATTTCCTTTCACTGCCTCTTATTTTCTTATCTGTAAGCAGGAACTAATAACTTCAGGTGTTTGTTGTTGGGATTAAATGATGTCATGTGTCCAAAGTACCTGACACCTAACAGGTGCTTCATGAATATTTCCTTCTCTTTTATTTTCTTTTTATTTTTTAATGTTTATTCGTTTTTTTTAAAAAAATTTTTAATGTTTTTTATTTATTTCTGAGAGAGAGGGAGAGAAAGAGACAGCGTGAGCAGGGGAGGGTCAGAGAGAGAGGGAGATACAGAATCTGAAACAGGCTCCAGGCTCTGAGCTAGCTGTCAGCACAGAGCCCGATGTGGGGCTCAAACCCATGAACCGTGAGATCATGACCTGAGCCAAAGTTGGACGCTTAACTGACTGAGCCACCCAGCTGCCCCTCCTTCTCTTTTCTTTACAGCCTTACGCATTTGGGCCAAACTAATCATTGCTAGGTCTCCAGTGGTAATTGAACGGACCAAATATTATTACCAGACCTCCGCCAATAGCACTGTTATAATTTTAGAGATTCTGCTAATCGGTTTGACTAGAAACAGTTTGGAATCAGCCTCTTACATGGGTTGCTGGTGTCTCACGTGTATTTGAAGCTTCACATTGGGAATGAGTGAGCCATCCAGTGGAAGGGCTGCGTTTCTTTTTCCCTGTGGAAGGAAATGTACTATTACCTTTCCTGAATTTCTGTTTTGCCTCAGTTATAAAGGGAAACATTTGAAATTGTTCCTGTTTACAGAATCTAATATTTATTTTCATTAAAGATGAATCGTGTAAGTGAGTTAACTCTTTAATTCCCCAGAATCTGAAAATGATGGAGGCTGTATCTTTGTCTCTCTTTAGCTTCTTATTGGTTTTCTTTTTCTGATACCACTTCCTCCCCACTTGGGCCTTTGCTTTGGCTTAACTTAATATGTCTTCTATTAATTTTTGAAAATTGAAGAAAAAAACCATTTGAATGAGACATCCTTTCAAAATCAGAAACAACCTAACCTTTCTGTTGTGGGGAGAGAAGGCATTGTTTTTGTTGTTGTTGTTGTTGTTTACTTTTGTGGCCCTGAAATTATTCTTTTGCTATTGTTTTGGTTAGTGATACTGGGTGAAATGTTTCTCTTAGGAGCTTTAGATTACCAGAAAGCCTTTATCTCCAAGGGCCATTTTTTTCCAAAAGAGGTTCTTTTTTGTTGTTTTCTGTTTATTTGTTTTAGATCCTGCATAAAGTATTACAAACAAAATCCTCTTGATGAGCAACACGTTTTTCAGCTGCCAGTCAGACCAACTGCTGTAAAAAGCTTATATCAAAGGTCAGCAATTTAATAATTGAATTCTGCTTTAAGTCTGGCTATAATTCTTGGGCAACTTCTGTGTCCTTTCTCTGGGGATCTCATAACCAAGAGCTGCTCCACCTCTGAAGCCTTAATCATCTCTGTCCTGCTCTTTGACTGTCATCTGATATGGGTTCACCCTCTCCCTTCTCCCAGACTTTTGTCTTCTCTTTGTTCTACTGTTGGGCCTCTAGTCTTTCATTTTTCTCTTAACTTGCAATTCCTTCACGGTATAGGACAGAAAATAGATTGAGAAGGAAGTTATCAGGGTAATGACGACAAAGTCGAAGGTATGGCTGTGAGGAATGAGGGTTTGGGATTGGGGAGGTGTGGGACTGTGAGGCTAAGGTGACGGACTGGCCATCCATATAGATTCTGAAGTTGTCTCAAATGATAGTTTCCTCAGCTCTTCCCTCAACAGGTAATGTGCTTGAAATTTCTCTCATACTGAAGCCACTATGTTTACCCTCCCCCTATGTTGTTCCCTCTTAGCCAAACCCTGTCATTCCTGGAAACTGCTCTGGCAGAGGTCTCTGGGGGCCTTCTAATTACCAAGTCCAGTGGACTTGCGTTAGCTCCTGGTGTATTCAGCTGGCCCACCAGTTCTTTCTCCTCATGAGTAAGCACTTAGAAGGCCATTTGGCATTTAACACTACTCCTTTCTTGGACCTCTGTCCCCTTTCTTCATTTCTGTGACACTGCGTTCTGTGTTCATTTTAATTCCACTTCGCTGGCCCCCCTCCGAGACTGAGAGTAGTTCTCTCTTCAGGTCCTTCCTCTGTCTCCTTGTATGGCTTTTCACCAGAACACTTTCTGCCTTCTTTTCTTACTTTCCGTCTTCCCTGGGTGGTTGGATTTGCACTCAAAGCCTCAGTTCCTTTGAGCTAATGATAACTCAATACTCCCATCTCTAGGTTCTCCTGAGTTTCAGAGCCATGTTTCTAAAGGCCTATTAGAGGTAAATCCCCAACATCAGCGTCCTGTAGGTAGTTCAGACTCAAAACCCAAATTTAGAGTTGCGACCTGTTCATCTCTTCTTTCTCAGTGCCTCTCACATGAGGACTTCGCTAATTATGAGTATAGAAGAAGGGAAGGAAATAACTGGGGCTTTTGTTTCCCCTTTGATGTTTTTTCTTTCCTTAGTGAGAAGCCACAGAAATGGAAAGTGGAAATCAGTGGTGGTCAGAAGAAGGTGAAAACACTTTGGCAGCTGAGTGACAGCGCACCTGTAGACCATTTGAGTTTCCACAAACCTGGTAAAGACGGTTTGTAATCTATTCACATAAATTCTAATAGAAAATAAACCGAATCTTTACTGGTACATTATGATAGCTCTTGTGCCCAGTTTTAAATAATTTTCCTGAACTCTGGGTGTAAAACATATTTATTCTTGGAGGAAAAGTCATAGAAATGAGTGCTTTTTCTCATCCTGGATGGAAGAACTTTTATTAAAAGAGGTCAAGCAATAGGGATACAAGGAGTAAAAATAGATTCTAATGTTGAAATGCCAGTTCATACTTTAGTGCACTCTCTGAGTGATATTTCTAATATCTTCTCCGGGGGGCTGGAAGAAGGTTGAGTTTTTTTTTTTTTTTTTTTAAGTTTATTTTTGAGAGAGAGCACCAGCAGGGGATGGGCAGAGAGATTGTATCCCAAGCAGGCTCCATCCTGCCCGTGCAGAGCCCAACGCAGGGCTTGAACTCATGAAACCACGAGATCATGACCTGAGTTGAAACCAAGAGTCAGACATTTAACTGACTGAGCCACCTTGGTGTTCCGAGATTTTTTTTTAATGTTTATTTATTTTGTTTATTTATTTGTGAGTGAGTGGGGGTACATGTGTGAGCATGAGAGGGGTAGAGAGAGAGAATCTTAAGCAGTCTCAGTGCTGTCAGAGCAGAGCCAGATGTGGGGCTCGATCATGACCTGTGCCAAAATCAACAGTCAGATACTTAGCTGACTGAGCCACCCAGGTGCCCCAAGATTTCTAACGTTCTGTCAAAGATGGTCCACATCAGTCAGAGAATGTGTGTGAGCCTCTGGTGTAATAAGCTGGCTCCAACTATTCCTCCTTCAGTAAACACCTGTAAAATTGTTCTCTTCATGTATGTGGATTGCAAGATGCTCTCCTCCCTTTGTATAGATCTTAAATTGCTTTATTCAGTTATTGCAGTGACTATCTAAAATCATATCTAATTTTTTTCCATATCTGATAGTTTTAAGACAATCTAAAAGATTTCAAAAGCCTATAGTCAACCACTGCAGGTTATTGAACTAAGAACTCTACAAATAGTTCTAGTTTAGTGATTGATACCTTGCAAAATTATTTCCATGAAAGGTTTTTATTCTCCCCCAAATATTTTTTGATTGAAGCATAATGGAAACTTCTCTCAACTAGAATGGAAACTTCTCTATTCATATGGCTGAACCGTAAAAGCCCTAAAGACATGGAAAAATTTTCCTGAGGACCATCAGTTAAAATCATGCTGTCTTTTCTAAGTGTGATATGAAACCTGGAGGCTATAAAGCTTGAAAATCAACCATATAAAGTTAGAAAAGTTTCAGCATGACAAAAAAATACTAGAGGCAAAACAAGTGATAAGGAAGATTAATTTGCAGCTCATGTTCAGAAAAGAGGCTACATTGCCTAGTACATAAAGAACTTCCAAATCAGTAAGAAGAATGTTAGTAGAAAAATGCAAGTAAGATGAACAGTTTACCAAAGAGGAAATTCAGATGTCATCTTCTGAATGAAAGATGCTCAGCCCTCCCTATGATAAGAGAAATGCATATTTATATTATAGAGATACCATCTTTTACCTGTCGGATTAGCAAAGATCGAAAAGTTTGTTATCACAGTACTGGCAAGGATATGAACAGGCAGGTGGTCAGCCTCACATGTTGCAAGTTGAAGTATAAGCTTGACAGCTTCCATGGAGGGCGATAGCCACCAAAATTTTAACATACAATTTTTGGCCTGGCAGTTTTATTAATAGCGATTTATTCCATACATAAAACCAGATGTGTGCAAAAAGACCAATGTACAAGGTCATTAAGTGTGGTATTGTTTACAGTAGTAAAAGCCTGGGAAAAAATATGGAGACGAGTATTAGAGAAGGTCCGGAAAGATACAACAGAAATTTAACTGTAGCATAGTGAGAGCAGGTGTGGTTCCCAGCACTCTCCAGGTGATTCCATTGTGCAACTAGTATGAGAACCACCAATTTTTAAAAAATTTTTAAAAATGTTTTATTTATTTTTGAGAGAGAAAGAGCATGAGCAGGGTTGGGTCAGAGAAAGAGAGAGACACAGAATCTGAAGCAGGCTCCAGCCTCTGAGCTAGCTGTCAGCACAGAGCCTGACGTGGGGCTCGAACCCACGAACGTGAGATCATGACCTGAGCCGAAGCTGACTGAGCCACCCAGGCGCCCCTGAGAACCACCAATTTTAGCATTTTGTTTTAATTACAGATTTTGTTTAAAAAGACCTATGTTTTATGATTAAAAAGAAAGTTTTAAAGCTATGAACATATGTGATAAGTTTTTGGGAAATGCTGTTTTATTTATTTTTTTAATTAATTAATTTATTTTTTTAATTTTTGAGAGAGAGAGAGAGAGACAGCGTGAGCAGAGGAGGGTCAGAGAGAGAGGGAGACACGGAATCTGAAGCAGGCTCCAGGTTTTGAGCTGTCAGCACAGAGCCCAACGCGGGGCTCGAACCCACAAACTGTGAGATCATGACCTGAGCCAAAGTCGAACGCTTAACCGGCTGAGCCACCCAGGCGCCCCTGGAAAATGCCATTTTAAATAAATTTTATTACATCAAGATTAAACCTTTTTCATGAGGAAATTCATGCAAGATTAAACACCTTTTTTCAGTGATGCTGGATAAGTGAAGTAGAGTGAACGTATCTTCTAGAGTCTTTTTGATGCAGATTACTTCACAAAAGAGTGAAAGTTATTTTGAATGTTAGAGTTAAAACAATTTATAAATACATTGGTCCAGTAACTCTATGAAAATAAGGAATTCTTATGAAATCCTATATTTGTGTGCTTGGAAAACTACTCACATACTCCATTTTGGCTAGAACTTTAAAACCCATCATATATTCCTGATGTGTTTGTCTAGAAATTATTCAATCACTTCCAGCCCAAAGCAAGACCCACTTGTGAAGGAGGCCCTCGTTTGTAAATCATGGGCTATTTGGACAAAGCCCCAGTGATAAATATTAAAACCCAGTCACGATTTATTTTTTGCCAAAGATCATATGCATTTAAGAGGTTAGACTTTCTGCTTCATTGGACTGAGCTGAGCACTTAGGTCCAATACTAGCTTTTCAAGGTATCTAATGTGATACTGTTGAGTAAAACACTGAAATCAAAAGCAGGAAGACTTAGAGAAAAAAATGTCACGGGAAGAGAATAATGATTTGGTGCGAACAGGTGAGAAGAGTGGTGTCTGGGAGAGTGCTGCTTGCCCGGTGGGCGCCCTGCAGATGATTGTTGATAATGGTGAGAATATGGAAACCAAAAGGCTGACCCGCACGAAAGTGAACACAAGCTCATCTAAATGTTAATTGCATTTGTTTTTGAAGTACAGTCTTCAGAGAGGGGAAAATGTGTATTTGTCTAGCCCTAAGGCTAGAAATCTCAAGTAGAAATTGTTTACCCAAATATATGTTAAGATTGGAAAAAAGAGTTTAACTATAGTGGATGAGGCACAAAAATGAAGCAGTAGGTTCCCAAATTAGAGAATTAAGCTTTGTGTCCTGGCAGTATCGTAGCCAGTGAGATTTATCCGAGGCGTGATTATTGCTAATTGAAAAATCTAGAATTAAAACAAATCTGCTTTGTATTTTCTTTAATCATGTTTTCAGTGCATCAAGGTTTACTACATAAAAGATTTGTCCATGCTGGGTTTTGTCTCAGAAATTCAAAGTAGAAGATACATGTCATTCAGATTACCTCTTGGTTATTGTAAAATTCAGCACTGTATATGGTAGAAAAGCTAGCAGGCTGGTAAGCAGTTCTGATCTCTATCTGGTTACAGATGTTTCTGAATTAACATTAAACGGTAGCCTGGAAGAAAGGATGTTCTATACTAACATGGTTACCTGCAGCCAGGTGCATTTCAAGTGAAGTGTGCTGATGGAGCCCTCTGTAAGGTAGTATGTTCGCTTTTTGTCTCCAGATACTTTAGTGTATTAAGTATCTTATGTTTTAGATTTTTCTACAACAGACGTGTTTATTTAATACGTTTGGAATATGGATTATTTTTCAGGATTCATGTAAAAAGGCTTATCAGATGTTATTGAGTAATGCAAGTTTTTAATTTCCTTTCTACCATCTGTAGTAAGTAGGATTAATCCTGAAACCAGAGAAACAAAAACGTTTTTTTGAGTGGTAATGTCTTTGCATTTTAAATCTCTATATATCGTAGAGAGTTTGATTTCAAAAACATTGATGGGTGTGAAAAACCCTGAAGGAACCTATCAATTGAGGTTGAAAGCAAAGTTCTGTTAAAAACAATTTTACCCCAGCCCAGTTGTAGGACTAAGCCCCAGATGTAAACACCTTTTTAAAATGTTTAGTTTAAGATAATATTAACCAAGAAAATTAATGCGATAGCATTTTCTACTGTCTTACTGTTTTTGTGCTTTAGAAACAGTAGAATCAGGTAATGAATAAAATGTCTCTTCCTTAAGCCATGGTTTGTCCTCAGGTAAATAGATGTTACTTAATTTTAGCAATTTCGCATAGTTAAGAATAAAATGGACATTTATTTTAAAAAAACAGAATAGGCACAGAGAAGATATTAAATATATTTCTTTTAGGTATTTAGTTGAAGTTAATTGCATTTAGTGCAAGAAAGTTTATCTCAGAAAAGTGTATATGCTCATTTACTTGGTACCTACCTAATGCATTTCCCTGGTTGCTTGATAGAATTTAGAGCCTGAAGGGATTGTTACGTGCAGATGATTGACTGTCTGTCATGTGTAGGACAGTGCAAAGATGGCATTTATTTCCACATGAAAGCAATATTTCTGGACAGATTTTTAAAAGGACAAAAAATCAAGTAACAAAATAGTTTATGCACTCTGATTCCTTTTTTGTAAAGTGAAAATGCATAATAATAGACAGCAAAATATTAACATTGACTTTGACAGGTGATTTTTATTTCGTTTATGCTTATTTTTATTTTCTAATTTTTAAATCCCAGCACAAGCCAAAAAAAAAGAAAAAGAAAACATTATCACAGAGCCCGAAACCAGAAATGTATATAAACCTTCAGGGCAGAAAAAGGAGGAGGATCCTGAAGATTCTTTACAAAAGTTGGTCCTGTCAAATGGGTAACCCTCTCAGCTCTGGGTCTGCAGGAGGAGCATCAGGAGAACTGCCGAGATGAGTATGCAAAGCGTGCAGACTGTCGGTACCACGATCTCTGTCACCATCTGCATGTGACTTAGCAGAGGCTCTGAAACCGGAGCAAGAACACCAGAAATGAGAGTGTCGTCATTTTAGCAAATATAGCTTCATCCAGAAAGATAATCCCTGCATCGGGGAAAACTTGGAAAATGGCATCATCAAGCTTTGTAATTAATCTCACTTGCTATAAAAGAGAATGTGGTTCTCTTAACATTATAAAATGTTATTTAAAAAATTACGTGAGGGCTTTGTAAAATCTTTCAGAAATATGGAATAAAGAATGCCTACTTTTGGTTCTTCTGTAGGTACTGGAATAAAGTCTAAATGTATGGTATACTTGCACTTACCATAAATTAAGGTGAGAATATTGACAGCTGTGTCCTATGGTTTCTGTAATTTTCACTGGGGGGGGGGGGGGGGGGGGGGGGGGGGGGGGGGGGGGGGGGGGGGGGGGGGCATGAAAGAAAAATCCTTGGGAAACTTCTCCCAGTCCTTCAGAGATGTTATTGTGTATCTTAAGAGGTGGAGGAGTTGCCATACTTTTGTGGGAATTCTTGCATAGTTTAGTAATAATCTTGAAGAGTTGAATGATAAGTATATTCCACATACGTGGTTATATTAGTGGACAGTATGTAATTCCCTCTTTAGGTTTTGTGCCAGGCACTCTGGCTACTGAGATAAATAAGGCACAGGCCCTGCCCCCACAGAGTTCATAGGCTTATCAGTAAATTCTATGTCAGGTGTCTAGGTGATAAAATAAACGTTTATTTTGGTTTAAAGGAATATACATCCTTTATTCCTGGTTATTTAGATGGGACCAGAGCACAGTGGTATAAAACAACTATAAGAATAGCTGAATTGGTAGGATTTGGTAGCACTTTCCACTTCTGATACCACATTAAAGATGGGGTTGTTAAAATAGGAAGTATATTTCTTTGATTGCCCTTGTAGAGAGAGAAAGACCAAATTCAAAGAAACAAATGATCCATGCTGGCCTTTGTTGACCTATAGATACATCTTTATTATTCTACATCTTAGCCTTTTGGATTCTATTGCACAAGGAACTGTGCCTTCCATGAAGTCAGAGACCTTGTTTTAGTTATTGCTATATCCCTAGCGCTTAAAACATCCCCTAGCTAATGGTGACTGCTTAGTAATTACTTGCTGAATGAGTGAATACAATATCTGGAGTATTCTTTGACTTTTCAACTTCTCTTTATTCTGTTGGAATGTGGTTGCATTTTTTCCTCCTTCCACAAAGCCCACTATAACAAAAATAAGTTTATATACGACAGTATGATTCAGAAAGAATGAAACTAGAGTGGATAAAATATTTCTCTTTTCTGGTAGATTTTTAAAATATTTTTTGAAATTCTTATAAAATAGAAATTTGACATTGCTTCAAAGTGAAGGAAAAAAATCATTTTTAATCATGTGTTTTTGGGATGATTGACTCCAGGTAGATGCACATTGTGAGGTTTTGGTAAAATCATTATATATATAATGATTTGCCTTAGTTGTCAAAGGAAAGAATTAAAATATACTCACCTGCAGCAAGCATCTGGTTGTTGATTGAGCAAGTTTCCAAGGCTTTGAGATACCAACTTTCCACCTAATAGAAATCCATTGGATAAGTGATGTCATCTTAGACTAATTTTTTGCAGTTTGAAATCTTTTTTTTTTTTGAGAGAGCCCATGAGGGAGGGGGGAGCAGAGGGAGGGGGAGAGAGAATCTTAAGCAGGCTCCATGCCCAGCTGAAGATCCCAACACAGGGCTCCATCTCACAACCATGAGAACTTGAACTGAGCTGAAATCAAGAGTCAGAGACTTAACCGACTAAGCCATCCACGTGCCCCTGAAATCATTTTTGAAATACTGTAGGATTAAAACAAATTTAAATCTGCCTGAAGTTTAATTCATATTTATTGAATACCTATGTGCCTCTTTGTGAGGAAGTAAAAACAAAACAGAAACCAAAGTCTTTATTCTTGAGGAACTCACAATCTAGTGCTTTTCTAGTGAATGCCTGCCGGCCACTGCTTCCTTATGGTGCCAGTGGGCTCATCTGCAAAGAATGTTGATAAACAAATGAGATTTATTTATAGAGATTATTAAGACATTCTAAATTATAATTTTTATTGCCTGCCATCGATAGCAACGTAGCTGTTAGAAACATTTGTAGGTTACTGAAAATGTTTGGTAGGTTTTAAAAGATTCTTAATATTAAGTTGGATTATTTTTAATCTTGCTTCGGAACTAGTGGGAAGAAGTGAAAAGTTGTATGGTCATTATACATTTATGTAAACGTTTTCATATATTTTGAGTAAATAGGCAGTATTTGTTTGCATTAACATGGAACATTTAGAACAACATTTAACTAGAAGTCTCTACTATCATAATCTAAAATATACAGGGCTCATTATACATATGTAACTCTAGTTTGCCCTTCATGCTCTGAGAGTTAGGATTGAATTTTAAGGCATGTTTACCCCATTCTAAGCAAATGAGCAATGAGGTGGCACAAGTTAGGGGAAGAGACAAAGGCCCACAAAACCCTGTCTTCCTCCATGGAGGAGGGAGGAGGGGAATCACCACATGGCTCACCCCAAGTTGCTTAGCTCTTCTAAAACCTAGAACAAGTGAGGGGCTTTTCGCTGGCTCAGTCGGAAGAGTCTGGCTCATGATCTTGAGGTCATGATTTTGAACCCCGCCTTGGGTGTAGAGATTACTTAAAAATGAAATCTAGAACAAGTAACCTCAATAATAGTCCTACCTCTCTTCGACTGGGAAACCCATTGGCAGTGATAATCTTCTTGTAATATTGAACTGATGCCTTTGGATAGCGTGGCTTATTTCTGTTGTTAAATTCGACATAGTAGAATCCGTATCTGTCCGAGTATCCTTTCTCCCATTCAAACTTATCCAACAAAGACCAGGAAGTATACCCTTTTATATTAGCACCATCTTTTATAGCTGCAAAGACATTTTGTTCCATTTTTAATATATTTCATTTACTTGGAAAAATAATACTGCGAAGATCATCTTAAATTCATTCATTTATGAGATTCAGAAACAAGCTTTAGTCGATTGTGTGTGTTATCACATTCTGTCCAAGTTAAATAGAAGATATGTGAGGACAGTCTTGGTCTATAGCTCACCTTTCAGCATTTCGTTTATGTAGCCTTTAAGGTACTGAATTCTCCACTCATCACATAATTGAGTACAGTGTAATTTTTGAGATGCTCCATTTTCTGTCACATAGATGGGAGGATTGCCGTATTGAGTCTGAAAGTCATAGCAAGGAATATCTTAAAAATTCTGACCTCCAGGTGGGTTTCTGAGTCTGAGGCACATGCAAACACTTAGTCAAGTCTGCTGTATTCTAATTGAGTGCTTTTAGTGTTTAGCGGATGCGAGTTTACACATTTTTTTGGAGGTGAGTGTAGACAAGAGAAAGTTCGTATGAAAGACTACATTGCTCAATCAGCATCATGGTAGAGAAAGTATACCTCAGGTTGTGTTCTTTCTCACATCAAGTGAGAAGGGGAAGCAAAATGAATGTGGGATGAGAATTTGTAGCCACAGGTAACACACTGAAGCGGTTCCTTGTGGTGGGCATTAGTCTGTAAAGCCTATATCTGGTAGCGTCTGAACAACTAACTGAGCTTGTTTCATTAAGCCTGACTAACTGGAATTAAAATCAAAACTAGGCCCCTGAGCCTAAGCTGTAAGATCACGAGTTGGGGTAAAAAGTGCCCGTGAAATAGCCGAATGTGATAATCACCTGAGCGAAGTGGAGGAGCCTTCTAAACCCCCAGGGCACTGAACGAAGCCACGTAGATCCCAGGTCAGGCCAGTTCGGGTCAACCAATTCTACCAAGTCACGGTCATTCTGGTAGCTGGGCCCCTGGCGGGAGGGGTAGTTCCTTTCTGTGATGTACCGAGTGGTAAAATGGCCTAATCCCAAAAAATCTGAGGTGCCTTTGATGTAGCTCTTCTCCTGGAGTGAGAACACTGGTAACCTTGACATGTCCAGGCCTTGCTCTGCACTCTTTTTCCCTATTAAGAGAGAAAAACAGAATTTCACAAAGTAGTACTTTCTCACGATTCTTTTGCCATTACGTACCACGGTCGTACTGGCATGTTGACGTAAAAGCTGCTTTCCAGATCCCGGCCTTTGGGATTCGTGTGTATGGAAAATATAACCTTAGCCTTTTAAGCTGGGATTTTAACATTTGAATACTATTCAAAATTTTAAAAATTTATATTGCTTTTTTTAAAAAATTATATTTTCAGGGGCGCCTGGGTGGCTCAGTTGGTTGAGCGTCTGACTCTTGATTTTGGCTCATGATCTCAGTATGTGGGTTAGAGCCCTGCGTCTGCACTGTGTCAGCACAGAGCTCGCTGGGAATTCTTTCTCTCTCTCTCTCTCTGTCCCTCCCCCGCTCATGCTTGCTTTCTCTTTCTCTCAAAAGAAATTTAAAGTTGTATTTTCATAGATTGCTCTGTAAGTGGCATGCAGGCAACATTGTGGCTATATGGGAAAATGTGGACTTAGATTCCTATATTCTTATAGCAGAAATTGAATTTTGGTTACCTCTGGGAAGAGATGTGGAAGGTCATTGGTGGTGTGGATGGTGGAGGACATATGGACACATTCATGTACTGTTGTAGTGTAAGCTGGTATGACCTCTGTGTTGGGAAATTTTGTCCTAGCATTTAAAACTGTAAAAGGGGGAGGTGGCGGTACCTGGGTGGCTTAGTAGGTTAAGCAGCTGACTTCGGCTCAGGTCGTGATCTCGCAGACTGTGAGTTTGAGCCCCGCGTCGGGCTCTGTGCTGACAGCTTAGAGCCTGGAGCCTGCTTTAGATTCTGTGTCTCCCTCTCTCTCTGACCCTCCCCCATTCATGCTCTCTCTCTCAAAAAAATGAATAAACGTTAAAAACATTAAAAAAATAAAATTATAAAAAGATACGCCATTTCACAGATCATTTCCGTATCTTTTTATCCTGTGTTTTACTTGCACGTGTAAAAGGAAGTCTACAAGGATCTTCATTGTAGATTGAGTAGCAGAAAATTAGAAACAAATGTCTCTCAAGTGAGACTGGTTAAATAAATCCGTATATCTGTACAATACCGTGAAGTCATCAGAATGAGGGCTCTATACCAGCACTATATGCCAACATGGAAAGAATGCCAAGACACATTTGTAAGTGAAAGATGCAGAGTATTGCATTTAACAAGTACACGGAGCCGCGGTGGTTTTGCTCCCACAGGCACAGTCCATCACTGCAAGTGTGCTTCCTCCTGGGGAGGATGGGAGCAGGGGGGAG